AGATTAAATTAAGGATAGGAAATTATATTGTCTGAACAAAATATAATTAAAATAGCAGATGGTTCTCTAATTAATATCAAAACAAATCAAATCCCTGCAAATCAACTATTGAAAAATTAATCTGATTCTCTAGTGATCGGGTTCAGGACAAAGTTGACTGGAGCAGTTATGGAGGAGTTCGTGACCAGTGGGGTCTGTACGGTCGATTGGGATTGAGGACAAATAATTGTCAATGACATTAACTGGTGGTTGCGCTACTATTCATGGGCCATTGAATGGGATCCCAGTGGCTGAATGGTACACGAGCTTGCTTTGTAACTGGAAGTTCCTGGGTTCGAACCCCCCCCCTCAGTGGGTGGGGACTGTCTATGAGTCCCAAAGTAGTGGGACGAAAATGCTATCTAGTACCCCGTGTTGGTTTTCAATGGTTCTCTAACTGATATAAATTCATGGTCAAGCTTGAAAAATAAATGAAATCTCTACAAATCAACTCTTGAAAAACTAGCGAAATTAAATAACGTAAAGTATATTTACCTACCTGGGAAGCATTGTTTCAACTACAGGCGGAACTGACAAGGATATCAAAGCAAGAATAGGAAAAGCAAGAAAAGCTTTCATTTCTCTCAAGTCTATGTGGAGGTCAACAGCACTCAGCATCAAAAATAAGATTCGGATTTTCAAATCCAATGTGAAGTCTGTGCTACTTACTATACGGATCAGAGACTTGGTGCGTCATTAAGAGCATCTCAAACAAACTACAGGCCTTCATTAACAGTTGTCTTCGCTCAATACTCAAGATCAGATGGCCGGCTAGAAAAGATCAACAACAGGGATCTCTGGCAATGAGCGAACCAACACAGCAGGAACCGATTGTGAAACAAATAGGCAGGAAGAAATGGAGATGGATTGGCCATACTCTGAAGAAACCATCAAGTGACATCACTAGACAAGCCATTGCTCGAGTGGAAGCCGAAAGGGAAGCGGCAAGTTGGTCGTCAGTGCTAAGGTGACTTGGAGGAGGTTATGTGAAGAGGAGATGAAAGTGTGGGCAGACTTAGAGCGGGATGGAGACGCGCAGCTGAAGCCCTATGTTCCTCTAGGAATTAAAGGATATAATAATAATATTTACCAAGGTAAGGCAAGATTAGCAACTTCCAAGATTTAGTTTGTAGGGATTTTATTTGTTTCAGGTTAGACCACGAATTGATATCGGTTAGAGAAGAATTGAAAACTACCTGGGAGTACAGCTGTTCCCAACTAGTTTGGGAATGATTGACAGTACGCACCCACTACCAGGGTTCGAACCCCAGTACCTTCTGGTTACAAGACAAGCTGGTATATCAATCAACCAATGGCTAGCCTATGAATTCTAACTTTTACCAATTCGTGATTTTAATTCTACCAACAGACGGTGTCATCGGCTGGAACTCCATCCTCATTCGCGGTTGGATGGGCCCCACTAGAACTGCTCCAGTCAGCTTCATCCTGTAGCCAATCACTGGCGAGTATCAGACTTAGAATTCATGTGTTGGCCATCGAATTGGGTTGCATTGGTTGAATGGTATGCGAGCGTGCCTTGTAATAGGAAAGTCTTGGATTTGAACCCTGGGTGTGGGTGAGTACTGCCGATGAGTCCCATAGTGGGACGAAACATCTGTTCAGTACTCCCAGGTGGTTTTAAATGGTTCTCTAACTGGTACCATTTGGTGGTCTAACCTGAAAGATGAATAACGTTTTCCAACTGGATACAGTAAATTCGATTTTGATAGTTTAGTGACAATCGCTTCAGTGATACGGAACCATTTGGTGCTGTCTTCAGCTTTAATTATCTTGATGGATTTTTATGCTTCGATTTCATTCATGACTGCTGTTTTTTAACAAGTGATGAGCAATCGCACTCCTTAGCACTTTTACGTTGCTTATCAGACTCAAGTTCCTTGGGATATACTCAGATACACAGTCACAAATGCTTCTTTGTATTCTTCGGATGCATGTATTTTGACACCCCCTTTATATGACTAACATAACTAGAATGTTTAAATATTTTTTGTGCATTGATATTAAATTATTTATGGGTGGGGTGGATGTATGATATCTAGCAAGAACCAACAAGATATAATAGTGACGTCATTTTATTCAGCTCAATTTGATATTTTTGGGTTTTGTCCAAAGTTAAGTTTATGTTTTGTTAATAATTACTAAGATCAATTTTCTATAGTTTGGTTTGTAAGGGTTAGTTTTGTTTTAGCGAGTTGATCACGGATTGATATCAGTTAGAGAACCATTGAAAACTAGCACTGGAGTACTGGACAGCTGTTCCATCCTAGTCTCATGCGAATCATCGGCAGTACGCACCCACTGCCAGGGTTCGAACCCAAGACTTTTCGGTTACAAGGCAAGCTCATATACCATTCAGCCACTGGTACCCGACTCAATGGCTCATGAATTCTAACTTCTACCAATTCGTTATTTAGCGCGACTTCAACCATTGTTGTAGCTGGGACATCCATCCTCACCAAACTATCGAAAATAAGTCTGATGCTTGCCAGTCACTTGCTACAGGATGGAGTTTCCTGGAGTTCTAGTAAGAAGTCATGACCAGTGAGGTTCATCCAGATGTCACGTGTGAGGATGGATGTCCCACCGACTACATTAGTTGGGGTCGCGCTAAATCACAAATTAGAATTCATGATCCATTGAATCGGGTCCCAGTAGCTGAATAGTATACGAGCTTGCCTTGTAACAGGAAGATCCTGGATGCGAATCCCGGTAGTGGGTGCGGTACTGGCGATGATTCGCATGAGACTAGGATGCAACAGCTGTCCAATACTCCAGTACCGGTTTTCGCTGGTTCTCTAAGTGATATCAATCCGTGATCAACTCGTAATTACTAAGATCAGTTTGTTATGGTTACTATGTCAGCTGTATGGTTTGTTAGAAAGTTCTTTCCTTTGTGCCTCTTATGATAATGATAATATCTTTCATGAACTTATTCGGCATTATGAAGATGTTGAGTAAGACAAGCATAACTGTTTGTGCAGTATAAGATGATATCATGATCGTTCATTTCGTTGACTTCTCATCAGTTGCTTACAGCCCAAAGAAATTATTCAATTTATGTACAGAATAATTTGAGCATACTTCCAAATGTGACATGATGTCAATTGACAGGAGACTACAAACTTAATAAATAATGCTCGGAAAATCGCACTTATATAATTTATACCCCAGAAAGTTAAACTTTAACCAAGAATGAATGCTTGGATATTGCGTACTAAAGAAAAGAGGTGGATAGACAATTGATTTACAATGTACTGAGTTCAACGCAAATCAGAGAAACAAGAGGCAGGCAAAAAACAAACAAACGCTTTCAGTAGTGCCATTACCAGGCATCCCATCGATACGCTTCGATGAGGTTTGGACACCATGAAATCTTTTGAAATGATCACTAAGCCAAAATAGTACCATTCTCCTCAAGTTTGCTGATATAATTGCTGTCAAATGCCTGAAAACCGATTTATTTGTTCAGAAAGGAATAATTATTAATCTTTCTTTACCCTGGCAACTGGATGTATTTACTCTCCCTCTACTCCTTCGCCATAGTGTAGTTTTCATTGATATAAGAATAAAACTTGTGCACTATGGTAGAGTATAATTCCATTATGGGTAAATTTTTGTTTCGATAAAGTCTCACAGTGTTATACAGTAATGTTTACTGATTGCGTTTCGAGCACAATTTATTGCTCATAATCATATCAAGGTACTCACACCAAACATTACTGTATAACAATGTGAGACTTTATCAAAACAAAAATTTACCCATAATGGAATTATACTCTACCACAGTGCACAAGTTTTATTCTTATATCAATGATACTTATGGTCTTCCTACTGGGAAGCTTATCAACAAACTCACACGACTTAGTCAAACTGAAGCAAGATTCACAATTCATCGGGTTTTTAACAGTCGATGTTTAAAAAATCATATAATTCCGAAATATTTACGTCTACGTACTCCAATTACTTCAAGCAAAATATCATCACCAGCTAAACATCTCAGTAGATTATGTCTAAGAGAAGAACTACATCGAATGACTGTGAAACTAAATAATATTCGAAATGAAATCGAAAAACTCAAACAGAAACTCAAATGTATGGTCAATGAAAAAGATTATGCAGTCGTTCTTGAAACATCCGAAAAAGCTAGAGAATCAGCCTTGGGGAGATCGAAAACCACACAAATCAAAAAAATTCAACTAACTAATTGAAGAAAAGAACACAACAAATGAAACTGATGTCAACACTTCATTCTCTATCGACAGAACAAAGGGGGTGATCAACCTCTCATCAAGGGAACTAAGCTCTAGTGAGATAAAAGTACTTGAAAAGGGACTAAATTTCAACATAACAGTTAATAAATTAAAACCTGAGGATGTCATTCCTAAGATATAAGTAGCACTAAGCTCAATAGATAAGACAACAGCAGAAGAGGTTCGAGCACGATGTTCAAGGTGTGATTACCTTGATATGATTATGAGCAATAAATTGTGCTCGAAACGTCATCAGTAAACATTACTATATAACACTGTGAGACTTTATCGAAACAAAAATTTACCCATAATAGTAGTGTAGTTTTGCTTGTCTTTTTTTCCTCACAACATTGTTGCTCATCACCTCTTATCTGTGTTGCGTAGCCTCTTTGCCATTGTATCCAAGCGTTTGTTTTTTTGCTTAAACTTGAACTTTCTGTGTATCACCGTGTATATCAGCGTAATTTCTGAGTGGTGTGTATTAAGTTTAGCGTCTCCTATCAACTGACATCATGTCACATTTGGAAATATGTTCGAATTGTTCTGTACATAAACTGAATAATTTCACTGGGCTGTAAGCAGCTGATGAGAAGGTGATGGAACAAACAATGGTGCTATCTTATTCATATTTTATCATTGAATTATATTCACCACTGTTGTTTTCCCTACTTTTATTTTTATTCTTTATAGCGTAAATGGGGAAATATATCGTTGGATGAACCTCTTGATATTCAACCGCATACATTCAATTTAGCTCGTGAATGTTTAGGCTCTGCAGTGTTGGCTGTAGACTTCAATAATAAGAAGATGTGAGTATTATTTTAATTATTGTTTTCTGACATCTTATACATACTAGATATAGATGACTGTTCTTTGTTCTGTATGTTACTGAAACGGTAGAAGACGGAAAGACTTGGTAGAGGAATGTATCTATTTATAGCCACCGTTTGCACAGATCTTCCGTGTTGTGCCACTTCTGCCATTCCTTCATATTGTGTGTGTGTTTCTTTGTTTTCTTTTCACGTCTACCATGTATCTTCACAACACTGCATCATTTGCCTTCTCTGACATCGAATATATCTCCCCGCTATTTGATGTTTTTATGCGGATGAATATCTGCTCACACATATACTACTGATAAATCGTATCAGTGGCACTCGCCACATTTCTTCTTACTAGACGTGGTAAATTACATTTTTCAGCCTTAAGAACAATAGCAATACCTGTTTTGTCTGTCTGAATTATTTTGGTTTCACTTAAAAGCTTTTGTTTGGCCTTCCTTATAAGTTTTATGATAATGAAGATGTATTTCAGGGGTTAAATTGCTCAATTTTCCAAGCGATTCAGTTATATTTTCAAGCTTTTACCACTTACGTCAGTTAGGCTAGTCCGCTAATATCTTCCGCTCCGTTTGCATCCGGCAGAAAAATTTGACTTGTCAGCGTAATCCTGAAATTTGTATTTGTTCATTTTTTTTTAGTCCATTCTCATGTATAACTTGTTATCAGTAGTTAATAATCTTCTGTGCGGCGGTTGTTCAATTGTAGAATTCTCACCATCCACTTGGGTGGGGGGGGGAGTCCAGGGCTAAGTTCCCAGTAAATGCAGTCTTAAACCTCACCTAACGGGCAGTAAGCCCAGGAAAGAAAGTAGGTTGGGAGTGAGATTATCAACACCGGTGCTATTCAAGCTTCATAACTTGATGCCCTATTTTCCACTTGGAACGCAAATAGATGTCCAATACTCCTTGATGATCGACACTGTCCTAGTTACTGTGGATTTATTGCAAAAAGTGCTTTGAAGTTGACTTATTCTGTGCCAACCATCTAATTGATCGCAGTTAATTTTTTTGTAGTTAATTTTGTAACATTGCTTGTCGAGGAAGGCGATGGTTTAGCATGCGTAACATATGGGCTAGCCATCTCAATTAATGCAGCTTTATAGCTTCCCTGCCTTGTCTAACACTCTACGTTTAAACCCAATATTAATCACCATATTATTGTATCACTTAACACAGGACCTAGAAAGTAATTATCTATAATCAAAGACAGCTCGCCCTTTTACACCTTCCACTTTCAATAGTCATGTGTCACAGCCATAAAGGAGGACAGAGTGGATTGTTGCACAGTAAACGCATGCTTTCATCGATAGCAAGATATTACATCTACGCCGAAAGATGACAAATTTGCAAATGCCACATAAGCCTATTGTATTCCTGTTGAGATCTCGTCAGAAATCAGTTCATTAGGACTGATTCAGTTTACCAAATAAACGCTCAATAGTCAACATGCTCAACCACATCACTGCCTATCTTTATACTGGGATTTGTTATACAACAATCTCGTAGCATTATCTTACTTTTGACATGTGGCGAATCTCCCACCCAACACTCGTAGATTTTTACTCAAAGTGTTCGGAGGATTGTGGATTTTATCTTCACCTAGGGGGATAGGTTAGCATATAAGTTATGCAATTTTTAACAAACAAATCGGATCGGGTGTGAGGACAAATACTTGCCGAAGACATTGGCTAAGGGTCGCACTATGCCATGAATTGGCAGAAGTTAGAATTCATGGGCTGGCCATTGGATTGGGTTCCAGTGGCTTAATGGTATATGAGCTCGCCTTGTAACCAGAAGGTCCTGGGTTCGAACCCTGGCAGTGGGTGCTTACTGCTGAAGAGTCACGAACTAGGACGAAACAGCTGTCCAGTACTCCCAGATTTTTCAATGATTTTGTAAACTATGTCAGCTGATGATGAAATCCTGTAACCAACCAAATGCCTACAAATCAACACTTAAATATCCACTATTTATTCTTTAACTTGGCTGTATAATTTAGATATTCAGTATTTAATTCTCTTGTTCTATTGTTCTTTTACTCCTCCTGTGGAGTCACACAGTTTATGTTTAACTATCGAACGCGTACAGTACACACATGTTACATAAACTCTTACACAGATGTAAGTTGATCTTGTGTGTCCTGTGTCTTTTGATAATTTAACCACTCGCTATTGTTTTTCTTTTCAGGTCTACAAATGAACCACTGGATTCAGATCGAATGGCTTTAGAGTTTAGCATGCAATTCGCCGATACACCATTGACTGTTGGCCAACTTATCTTATTTCGATTTAATAAGAAATTATTCCAAATTGAAGTGAAAAAGTTGTCAAGTAAGTGGAACTGTACTCATAAACATATCAATTATTTTGTGATAATTGTGATAACTTCTATTTTTCATTATCTCTTTTAAACTGAGCGAGAAAGATTTGATAATATTGTGACACCAGCGCTGTAGACTCTAGGTTCGAATCCAGCTCTATATGCTGGTCTATATGCTGAGAATGATGTAACTGGCTGTTGTCAGCGTACAACACATGTGGTTTTATAATCTGTTTGACGAGGTTATGTATTACTCAACGGCGTTATGCACTTTGTCTTTTTATGGATTTAAATGGACAAATGGGATGAGTGGGAACAATTCAAAATGAGAATAGTAATAATAATAATGGTCGTAGGATTGAGGGAAAAGTACGGAGAAGTAGGGATTGTACGTACTTCTTTTGTAGACATACATCTGGCTTAAATTCATGAATGACTAAAGCCTCCGCGGTTTTTAGAAGTCTATAACGAAGAAAATATGGTAAGTTAGCATACATTCTGTAGATGATCTTAAAATTATGGTCAGGGTTGGTAAAGTGACAGGAGTCGATATCAAGTGTTATAGAATAGAGCCTTCGTACACCCTTCCTTTCTCCCGTGTTTTCTGCCAGGAGCTCCCTGGCTTAAACTCCGGTTCGTCTACTTCAACATTTTCAAGTGTGTATGTTTGGAGAGATTTGATTGGCATCAAGACCGTTCACGAAATGATATTAGTTATAAAACCAGGAAGTACTGGACACCTGTTTCGTCTTACTGTGGGCCTCTTCATCAGTGCGCACTCTCTAGGGATGGAGGCCTGGATCTTCAGGTTCTGTCAATTCGCAGTAGTATAGCGTGACCACCAACCAACGTCACCAGTGGGTATTCGTCCTGACACCCAACTTGATAGACCCCGCTGGTCATAACTTCTCACCACAACTACTTCACATCCTATAGTCAGTCATTAGCGAGCATTGGATTAATTTTCAAGCGTTTGTTTGTGGGGATTTGATTGATTTCAAAATTGATCACGAACTGGTTTCAATATTGACCAAACTGATGAGTACCATAGAAAAACAGCTTAGTATTTCAGATAACAAATTTTGCAATCATCGTTTTTTAAGATGCGTGTGTCCGGCGCCTTAGTCTATTCACATCATGCCTCTTGAATTTATTTCTACTATTGTTGACATTTGTACACAAGTGTGCACAATCACAGACATGTCATTATCCTGTTGTTTGTTTTTTGTAGTCGCCCGACTATTAACTATTTAGTTTCAACTTTGCTTTTTTTAACCATGTGATAATCTCAAGCACGTGTTTGATCACCTGCACACACTTCTGTCTTCGCTTAAAATTGTTTTACACGTTAGCAGACTTGTTTTCAATAACTTTAAACTAAATAAAACATTCAGCAGGGCTGGGGTACTACCCAGACTGAGGCGAATGGTTGTCTTTAAGGGAGAACGTATCAAGTCTTTGAATTGAAGTCAAATCAACAAGCCAGTGGAGCAACATGAGGAGCTATGGCTGTTGGTGCATCCTATCGGATTCCGGAGCTCATGTACACCATAATTTCGGAATCATGGTTTTCCAGCTGGTTCATGTAGGTCTACATATCCACCAGTACTGTTGTAGATGTCAGACATTGGTATTCGCCCTCTGACTTTTATGGGGAACACATCTGCTGTATATATGTAGTGAATAGAACTCACCTGACAGAGACGATGCATACATTCAATTTTGTTGGCTAACAGATATCATGAAAACTTCATTGTATGTCACAGCAAAGCGAAACTACATTTGAAGGAGTAGCTTCGGTAACGAAGAAAGCTGTCCTTTATTAAACTACTATTCATAGGTGGTTGACTCGTGAAATTGAGAGCTCAGAGGATTTGTTTAGGCTACGCTGCATCCCTTTTACTTACCTCTCTAACATTGTCAATCCTTGTGCCTACGATTTAGAGAGGAAATTCTATAAACTATTCTTCGCAACAGTATATCTACAAGTTTGCCTGCAGTGTTGCGTGGACACATATATAATAAAAGTTAATTGGTGTATGGTGACTAGAAGTGGAATCCAGGATGCGCATTTCGTCCCACTTGGGACTCGTCATTTGCATGTACCTGCGTTCCGCAGTGAGTGATGATGTTCCCACCGAGGCTCGAATCCAGTGCCCATAGTCTCAAACGCCAAAGCGTTATCCACTAGACCACTGGTTTCTAGCCTCGATGGGAACATCATCACTCTCTGCGGAATGCAGGTACATCCAGGTGTTGACGAGTCCCAAATAGGACGAAATGCGCATCTTAGATTCCACTTCTAGTTGCCATCCACTATTTAACTTCTAATTACATGCCCAGATATCATCGAAGCATCTACACAAGAAGCCAACATGTCAACCTGAGACCAAGCACTTCAATCCAATGAATCGACGGAAAAATCTAAAATTTTGATGTGGTTTTGTTCTCTGAGCTGGATGGTTAGTTTGCGAAGCTTTCATCACCTTACTGGGTGACATCTTCAGCGCATACTTCAATTTGAAGTGAGCTTTTAGATTTCTCCACGAGTTTATTAATCATCTCTCCTGGTGACCTTGGACGTGATTGGTTGTTTTGTGTGTTTTCACACCTTCTAGGTTACTTGTATTGGAACCGGTTGTTTCTTTGACTTGAACTTTGACCCTTTGTGTGTGAAGTTTCTTTCTTATTGGTTGATAAATTTTGTCTATCTCGATGTGTCTATTGATTGATGATCCACTGGAATGCCAAGCTTCTAAAAATTCTCTAGCATTCTTGTTATTTCCTTTGTCTAATATTTGAACGTTGTCCCAGTCGAATTGATGTCCGTAGTTGTCTGTGTGTAGTGAAATGAGGGAGTGGATATCATGTCTTTTGACGGCTAGCTTATGTTCGTGGATACGAAGACGAAGGGGACGTCCACTTTGGCCGATGTAGTGTTTTTCGCAGTTGTTACAGTTTATTTTGTAGATGATGTTGGTTTTGTCTTCTTTCGCTGTTGAGTCTTTTGGTTGACATAGAATTGAGTGCAGCGACTTTGTTGGTTTGTGTACGACGTCAATTCCTAAAGGTTTGAAGAGTCTTGTAGTGATTTCTGAGATATCTTTTATATATGGTAAGGCAATTTTCTTTGTGCTTTCCTTGGTGGCTTTTGCTTTGGTAGGTTGGCTTGGGGGTATATGTCTCTTGATGAAATTCCGTGGATATCCATTCTTTTGGAAGACGTCCATGAGATACTTTTCTTCAATTTTTCTTAAGGTGGGAGTGCTGCAGTGAGTCCTTGCTCTCTTGAATAGTGTTTGTATGCAATTCCTTTTGTGTGTTATTGGGTTGTTGCTGTTGTAATTCAGTATTTGGTCTGTGTGAGTTGATTTCCTATAAACTTGAGTTTCTAATTCTCCTGTAGTTGTTCGCCTGACTAAGACGTCCAAAAATGGTATTTTGTTCTCGGATTCCTCTTCTCTTGTGAATTTGATGTCGTTGAAGACGTTGTTTATTAAGTTGTGAGTTTTATCTAATTCGTTTCTTTTGATGATTACAAATGTGTCGTCGACGTAGCGTATCCAAATCTTGGGTTTGATCTTTGGTAGAATTATGTTTTCGAGTCTTTGCATCACTGCTTCTGCAATCAAACCTGATATTGGCGATCCCATGGGTGTTCCTTTGACTTGTTCATATATTTGGCCGTTGAATTGGAAGTATGTTGTTAGGCATAGATTTATGCATTCCATCCAGCTTGTGTGTTGCATTTTTGATTGTTGTGGCAGTTGTTCGTCGTTGCTAAGTAATTGCTCCATGGTTTCTTTTGCTAGGTTTTGTCCGATGGATGTATATAATGCTGTCACGTCGAAGGATACCATTATTTCTTGTTCATCTATTTGGATGCCTCTGATTTTCTCTAGGAATTGGATAGCAGAGTTGATGGAGTGATCGCAAGATTCCGTTAGGTGTTTTAGTTTTCTGTATAATTCTTTGGATAAATTATATGTTGGAGTTCCTGGGAGTGATACAATTGGTCGTAATGGGATATTTGCCTTGTGTATTTTGGGTCTGCCGTAGAATCGGGTAGGACTGGTCCATTGGATTTCATTCGCCATTGGTCTTGTTTTGTGATCTGTCCAGTTTTGGTGAGCTTGTTTAAGGTCCTTTGGATGCGGTTGTCCAATGTTTGTATGGGATTTGTTGGGAGTTGTTGATATACATCTTCATCTTTGAGTAGTTCTTCAGCTTTCTTGGTATATTCTTCTCTGTCCATGACTACTGTTGTTCTTCCTTTGTCGGCTGGTAAAATGACGATGTCCTTCCTATTTTTCAGCTTTTTGAGGGCCTTTAGTTCTTGAGCGTTGAGTTGTGTGTGTTGTCTTTTCTGTTTGACCATTGGTACAATTGTTTGGCGTATCTCTTCCTGTGTTTCCTCGTTCAAGTTTGATGATTTGAGTAATGATTCAAAGGCAGCGAAGAAATGGTCAAACAGAAAAGACAACACACACAACTCAACGCTCAAGAACTAAAGGCCCTCAAAAAGCTGAAAAATAGGAAGGACATCGTCATTTTACCAGCCGACAAAGGAAGAACAACAGTATTAGTATTAGACAAAGGAAATAACAAGAATGCTAGAGAATTTTTAGAAGCTTGGCATTCCAGTGAATCATCAATCAATAGACACATCGAGATAGACAAAAGTTATCAACCAATAAGAAAGAAACTTCACACACAAAGGGTCAAAGTTCAAGTCAAAGATATATGTGTAAAACTTGGGCACTGTGGTATTAAGTAATTCCATATTAGTTTGATTATTAAATGTATCACACAGTGAAACAGTATTGTATACTGGATGACGTTTCGAACACAATTTATTGTTCAAAGTCAAAGAAACAACCGGTTCCAATACAAGTAACCTAGAAGGTGTGAAAACACACACAAACAACCATTCACGTCCAAGGTCACCAGGAGAGATGATTAATAAACTCGTGGAGAAATCTAAAAGCTCACTTCAAATTGAAGTATGCGC